TCCTGATTGGAATAGGCCACATTCATGGCTGCGCCGGATAGCACATAGGATGGCCTAACCAGACAGGGATATCCAACCTCCTCGCAAAATTCGATGGCCGACTGTAGGTTGGTCAGCTCCTTCCAGCGCGGCTGCAAGATGCCCTTCCTGTCCAGCATGCGCGAGAACTTGAATCGATTTTCGGCACAGTCGATGGACTCCGGTGATGTGCCCAACACCTTGGCCTGCTGGCGATGCAGATCCATGGCTATGTTGTTAGGCAGCTGGCCGCCCATGGACAGAATGATGCCCTCGCTATTCTCCATCTCGTAGATGTCCATGACCACCTCGAAGCTAATCTCCTCGAAATACAAGCGATCGCACATATCGTAGTCGGTGGACACCGTTTCAGGATTGTAGTTAATCATGATGGTGGGTCGCTGAAGCTTTCTCAATTCGCGCAGGCAGCCCACGGCACACCAATCGAACTCCACGGAGGATCCGATCCGGTAGACGCCCGAGCCCACCACAATGGTGTGTCCGCCAGGGAAGTCCACATCGTGCTCGCTCCCGTTATATGTGTTGTACAAATAGTTGGTACTGGCGGGCCATTCGCCGGCCACCGTGTCGATCTGCTTGACATGCGGGCGGATGCCGAACTCCTGCCGCTGGTGACGAACTGCCAGCTCAGTGCTCTTGATGGCCTTAGCTATCTGCTTGTCCGAAAAACCGAAACGCTTGGCCTTCAGCAGCAGAACGGCATCAAATCGACTGCCAACCCGGGCGAGATGGGATCGAAGAGCGATGATCCTCTCCAGCTTATCGAGGAACCAGCAATCGATATTGGTTAGTCGATGCAGTTCAGAGATGCTCATGCCCAACTCTAGAGCAGCGGCGAGGACGAAAGGGCGACGATCCGTCGGCTCCGAAAGCTGATCGGCCAGCTTCTCCTTGTCAAGCGGAACCACATCCGGATCAAAGCCAAGCACATCGCCGTCCACCATGCGCAGGGCTTTTTGGAACGCTTCCTCGAAGTTGCGACCGATGGCCATCACCTCACCGACGCTTTTCATGGAGCTGCCAATGTGCTTGCTAACCCGTACGAATTTGGCCAAATCCCAACGTGGAATCTTGACCACACAGTAATCCAGGGATGGCTCAAAGCAGGCCGTCGTATTGCCCGTCACTGAGTTCTTTATATCTGGCAGGGGCAATCCCAAAGCCAACTTGGCGGCCACATAGGCCAGAGGATAGCCAGTGGCCTTGCTGGCCAACGCGGAGCTGCGCGACAGTCGGGCATTCACCTCGATTATGTAGTACTGCTCCGAATGGGGACACAAGGCGTACTGGATGTTGCACTCGCCAACGACGCCAAAGTGACGGATAACCTTCAGGGCGGTGCTCCTTAGCATTTGGTACTCGCGATCCGAGAGGGTCTGCGATGGGGCCACCACTATACTCTCGCCCGTGTGAATGCCCAGGGGATCGAAGTTCTCCATGTTGCACACGGTAATGCAGTTGTCGTAGGCATCGCGCACCACCTCGTATTCCACCTCCTTCCATCCCTTCAGGGATTTGTCCACAATTAGTTGGCTCGAGTGGGCCAGTGCCTGTTGGGCCAGGCTCTGCAGCTCTTGCTCGTTGTTGGCGAACCCGGAACCCAGCCCGCCGAGGGAGAAGGCAGCACGTGCCATCACCGGATAACCCAAGCGACTGGCCGCATCCAGTGCCTCCGCAACGGAGTATACTGCCTCAGACGGCGCAACCTGCTCGCCAATCTCGTTTACCCGCTCAGCAAAGAGCTTCCGATCCTCCGTCTCGATGATCGACTGGATGGGTGTGCCCAAAATGCGGACATTGTACTTGGAGAACACTCCGGCTCGCTCCAGTTCCACGCCACAATTAAGAGCGGTTTGGCCGCCGAAGGTGAGGAGTACTCCGTTCGGACGCTCCGACTTAATCACCTGCTCAACGTAGTGGGGTGTTAAGGGCAGGAAGTAGCACTTGTCGGCCATTCCCTTGGAGGTTTGAACGGTGGCTATGTTCGGATTGATGAGCACCGTCTGAATGTTCGATTCCCTCATCGCTTTGATGGCCTGTGAGCCGGAGTAGTCAAACTCGCCAGCCTGACCAATGGACAGTCCACCGGATCCCAGGATTAGGACTTTGCGCGGCTTCACCGGAGCCGGATCTTTTGCAATCCTAGTCGGACGCAGTCGCTGCTCAATCAGCTGCGGAATGGTCAGGTCCTTCTGTTTAATGCTCTCCAGGAAGACATCAAAAAGGAACTCCGTGTCCTGCGGTCCAGCATGATGCTCCGGATGGAACTGAACCGAAAAGTAGGGCTTGCTGGCATGGACAATGCCCTCGTTAGTGCCGTCGTTGGCATTCACAAACAGCTCTGACCAGCCGTCGGGCAACTGTTGCAAATCGACCGCGTATCCGTGATTCTGCGACGTCATCAGGCATCGTCCAGTTGCTCGGTGCAAGCAGGGCAGATTGTGGCCTCGATTTCCATACTTCATCTTGTACGTGGAGCAGCCTATGGCCTTCGCCAGCAACTGGTGACCCAGACAAATGCCAAATACGGGCTTTCGACCCTCCTCAATCACTTGTCGCACCTAGAAGCAATAGGTGAGGTAGAAGTTATTTTTTTAGCATTATATTCTACTCAGATGATCCCATTGTGACTCACCTGTTGGACGACCTCGTCGCAGCTCTCCGGATTGCCGGGTCCGTTAGACAGGAAAAGAGCGTCGAACTGCTCATCCTCGAGACGAGCGCTCCAAGGGAGCAAGGTCACCGAGGCGCCACGTTGCAGCAGGCAGCGCAGCTGGTTGAGCTTCAGTCCGCAGTCCAGAATGGCGATCCGGGGTCCCTTGCCATTGGGATCCCCGTACACTTGTCGCTCCCTAACGCTGCACTCCTTGGCCAAATTCCTGACGTTCGGATCCTCGAAACTGGACTTGGGCAGCCCATCTTCCGGCGGTCTCTCGTAGACAATCTTGCCTAACATGCTTCCCTGCTCTCTGAGCTTTTTGGTCAGAGCTCGGGTATCGATGTCTCTAATTCCGGGCACCTTGTGCTGCTGCAGCCAATCGGGCAGCGTCTTCCATTTGCGCCAGTGCCATGCAGCATCAGCTACCTCGCCCACCACCAAGGCGCTGGCCTGGACGACGCCCTTCATCCACTCAAAGTGCAGCGGCAGTCCGTGCTCGTCCTCATCCGGAGCCGGTACCCCATAGTTACCGATCAGTGGGTACGTCAGCACCAGGATCTGACCACTGTACGATCGATCCGTAAGCGCCTCCGTGTAGCCGACCATGCCAGTTTGGAAGACCACCTCGCCACCAACAGCCACTTTCGATGTTTGGTCCGAAGGAACGTAGCCAAAGGAGTAGCCGGGCAACACTGTGCCATCCTCCAATGCGAGGTAACAGTTCGCCTGGGCCATATTGGACGAGTTGCTGGGGAGGATTGGAAACCTTAGGGTATTCTTTAGTACTTTTCATTCGTAAGCTGTCTTAAAAAACGAGCAAAGTTCATTAAATAAGAGATCATATCTCGTGGAAGTTAGGTAGACACAATATTGAGGCGAAAATCTGATAACAATACTTGGAGACTTTCGGAACTTTAATTAATGAGCTATATATATGCTATATGTGTGCATACCCTTGATTTTATAAATTTTAACGTAACAGTGTAGAATCTGTATCTTGTTCAAAAAGCATGTAATTCCAAATTATGCTTAAAATTGTATATTTAATGCGATGTTTGATAAATTAAAATATATTGAACATATACTTATTAAATAATTGATCTTTTAAGGATATTTCTGCATTTCCAAATAAAATGATTTATTTTACTTAACTACGCGGAGCATAATTTTTTTATTTTAATCCCATCTATCAAAACGCACAATTTTACTTACAATGTTACAATGTTTTCTTTAGCTTTTGACTTTATAATTGCAGGGTACCAAAATGCCTAATACTTAAGGCATTTGCGAACATGTGTTTCTCAACACATAAGCACACGCACGCAGTTTGCCGGCGCATTTCACTACACAAAGAATCTAATAAGAAACCGCGATAGATAAAAGTATGCATGTATTCGCCTGTCTGGCAACATGTTGCGCAGTGCTCAATATGATTTTGATTGGGAATGGACAATGCTTTTCATTTCACGGTTTGTTTACACGACAACTAACGGCGGAGATGAAAGAGGAAGTGTGTGTGTGTAAGCACGTGTGAGAAGTTTGGCTGAAATGGGAAACCGGTTGGTCAGCAAATGAGAATAACAATAACATTGACTTTGACTTTGACTTTGGGCAGGAATTGGGGAATAACCAATTCAGAATCCCTTAACTACGATTCGCTTATATCGCCATTAAATGATAATTTTCCTTTCTGCACACATTACAATTTCAACACACTTACGATTCCCGATTCCGTGAACTTTCAAGCGAAGCTCTCTCTTTGCTGCACTTGTAGTTGTGAACACGTTTTAGTTTCGACTCAAACGCGATTTAAATGCGATCTGATTTGCTTACTTTGCGGCACCGCTTTTGGAGCTGGGGAACTTCGCACTACTTCGATGTGTTTGAGTTAAGCATTTAACTGTGTTTGCTTGCAAATTGCCTCCAATTAACGTCTGGCAAATCAAAGTCAAACAACTGAATTCACCGCCTTCTTAAATCAGAATCTTCAGGCATTATGTGCTAAAAAATACCACAGCTCGCTGTGATTACTGCTCAGCGAGGGGAACTTTGCTAGAAATAATATTGAAGGTTGAGTGCTTGGCTGGAAACGCAGCCAAAATTCAACATTTCAAGCCTTGAATGCCAGCCGACGGGGAATTTTATACCGAATTCAACGAGATATGACATTCCATATTCAGACCAATATTTTAACTGCTATGAACAAAACACTGATTATAAAGTAAATATTCAAAAATGAAATGGTAAGTTATAAGTTTGAAATCACTACCGCACTGATAACCACATATTTATCGATACATTTTCTTATTTTTATTTTGAACTGCCCTACGTAGTCAGGACATAACCCACAGTTGTGTTTTTATGCGGCTCCTCAAAATATAGGAAAAAACATAAGCAAATCATCAGTTAAAAGCCGAGCGCATAGCAAACATAACGGACTGAAACCACTGATAAGAGACGCCACCTTGCGACCATTCAAAATGCAGTGGGCAGGGCTCATCCTACTGGCCGTGGCAGTGATATCCACATTAGGGGCTCCTCGGAATTTGGCTTCCTCGGATACCGCGTTCCTCACGCCAGGCACCTACATAAATGCGACGCAAAACGTCCATGGATTGAAGACTCTGCGCACGTACTGCTATCCGGGCAAGCGGCTCTCGGTGACGAGTCTCTTTGAGACGATGAAGTTCATTCTGGCCATCGAGGGCGATGATTATGCCCAGTACGGCGGCAAGACGCCGGAGGAGGTGCTGGAGCACTACGAGGAGCAGCAATCGCTGTTCAGCATCACACTGTTCGCCCAGAAGCGCCATCGCGTTCTGCTCTCACCCTTCGAGCAGCAGTGCATCGGTATTTTCTCCCGACAGCCGTACACCGTCACCCTGAAGTCCATTCCGCTGGATCTGTGGCGTCTCGCACTGTTCTCCGTTGGCATGCTGATCTTCTGGAGCGCCCGACGCCTGGCCAAGAACGCTTTATTCTACTATCTGGCCGGTATTGCCATTGGCATTTGCGCCTCCCTGCTGGTGGTCATCTATTTGGCTGCCAAACTCTTTCCGCGCCGTCCTATGATGTATGGCGTACTAATTGGCGGTTGGACCATTGGATTCTATGTGCTCAAGCAGCTGGCGGACAATCTGCGACTGATCCTGCTCACCTACCGCGATTATTTGGTGTGGTATCTAATGGTCACCGGACTGATCTCGTTCCTGGTTCGTATCCATTTGATATTCAAGCCCTGTTGATTAGCCAACCATCTAATTACACCTCCACAATTTTACTTTAGGTTTGCTATCGCATTGGCCCGCCCAAGAATCCTCGCTCTCAAAACATTATCATGTGGGTGCTGCAAGCCATTGGCGGTGTCCTGGTTTACTTCAGCAGCTGGCACACCAGCGCCCTGGTCTTTATCATGGTTCTGCTCTTTGTGGCCTACTACTTTCCCAGGTCGTGGGCCCGCCAGGTCAAGATCATGTACCGTCGCCGCTTTCCGCCAAAGAGGCGACTGCTCACCCAAGAGGAGTTCCAACTGCAGACGGTCATCGAGACATCGAAATCGCTGGCGGACCTGCGCAAGTTCGTCAACAGTCCGGAGTGCAAGCAGTGGACGGTGATGAGCAACCTGAGCAATCCCATGCGCTTCGCCTCGTTCGCCAATGGAGCACCGCATCTGGACGACGAGGAGATCGAGGACTACTCGCGCACCATCGAGGAGTCCATGGAGGCGAACACAGAGGAGGATGCCGAGGAGTTTCTGCAGTGCAGCATGTACTATCGCCCGTCGGCCAGTCGTTTGGTAAATCGCTCGCGCCACCGTGTCAACATATCGCAGGCCAACTCGCAGCTCCGCCATCGCCTGGCCGCCCGCAAGTCGGAGCACGATGAGAGTGAGGAGGAATACTTGGAACAGGAGGCGGACTATTATTAGCCAAGCAGCTAAACCAAAAAGAAAATAACTCATTAGGCTAAGTTCAGACCATCGCAGTGTGTATGTCATCTTAAACTTCCCACCACGTACTGTAATGAATCATTATGCAACAGTTGTATTTATTTGTAGCTTTTGTATAGTTTAATTCCTCTTTCTCTATATCACTTGTATAAATATTTTCCGACTAAACTGTAACGCACTGATTTTGTAGCTTGCACTTATAATGTATCATTCTGTAACATTTGGACTTTTTACTTGTTCCTTTATTTAGTTGCCATATTTACCTATATTTATTATTTGTATTACTATTTTCCGACAATCGCTACGCACTGCTTTTGTAACTTGTACTTATTTTGTCATGACTGGCTAGGAATAAATCGAAAATTACGGTAATGGTAATGGTATAAACTTATTTGCTGCGAATGTCCCAAGGTACAGCCATCCCACTCACTTTGGCGGAACACAGGCGATCGGCAGCCACTGGCAGGCCTCCGATGGCGGCGTGTGCATCTGCCCGGGCAGCATCTTCACCAGCCGGCGCTCACCGTCGAACTTCTCGGCGGCACAGAGCGTGAGATCGCGCTGCCTGAAGATGAGTGCGTCCTCCACGTAGGCGATGGTCCAGGTGCTGGTCGAGGAGCTGGGACTGCCGGATCGCAGGGCGGCCAAGCGATTGCCCTCGCTGGGATCGACGAAATAGTACCACTTGAAGAGCTCGCCGCGCAGCGTGAAGACCGGTGTGGAGTGCTGCTCCTGTACGAAGGCGCGTATCACGCCCGCGGAATCGGTCAAGTTCTTCTCGTGCCAGGAGAACACCTGCCGCCCATTCAGCCCGTAGTTCCAATCGTCCGTTATGGTGGTGTAGATGTACTCGCGATCGGAGCGACTCAGCAGGCAGAAGCCCTGCGGATCGAAGAGTAGGCCAAGGACTGGTGGCAAACGCTTTCCCAGTGCCTCCACTCGCTTCTGGAGACCCGCATCCACGCTGGCGTACATGTGGTGGCTCCTGATCTTGCTGACCATGTGCGCCACGTTGAATAGGAAGGCCTCGCTGTTGTCGTGCATGGATTGATAGCGCCAAAAGAGCGCCAACTGCGCTTCGATCATCATGCGAAAGCTCACCTCGTCGCGATCTGCGTACAGCTGCTCCAGCTGCTGGACCAGCTTCTCCAGCGGCCGATGGAAATACACGTCCTCAATGGCGTGCACCAGAATGTCCCTGACCAGGGCGGGCTCCACACTGGACGCTATGTACATGCCGTACGTCTGAATGCTCTCCTCGGCGTTCAGCAGATTGGCCAGCCGCTGGGCCATGAGGCTCCTCAGGTGGCGTCTCACCTCCTGCTGCAACTCGCAAGCAGATCGGCCTGTGGAGCCGCTGCTGCACTGTACCTCGTCGCGAACAAAGATCCCCAGCTGCCTGTACAGGCCCTTCACCTTGTCCGTATCGGTGGCGAAGTCGGAGCGAATGGCGCCCCAGATGCTGTGGAATACCTGCAGCTTGTCATCGCGACTGACACTTCGCCGGATGGTCATCTAAAGGAGAAACTTATGCTTCATTTGAATGCAAATCGATGGATAGGCACACCTGAATGTTGTCCAAGTCGGGTTGCAGGGGCAGCACCTCGCCCACAACGAGTGGAATGCATAGAAGCAACTGGAGCAGCAGGTGCATCTTGCTGACCGTTTGTTTGTCTACTGCTCGGGCTTTGATTGCCATTGGAAAGCCATTGTGGCCTCCGTTTGGGTTATCGCCACCCAGCAAGAGGTCAGCGCAGGTCCATCTTGATTTGCTTGGCACGGTCGTCGCTCGCATTCTTTGCCAGCGGTCGCTTCTGTCCCACCATGGCCACCGATTTGATGCGCTGCGCCAGCTGCTCCATTTCCATGGGAATGGGATTGGGATTTGGTTTTAGAGGGCGATTTGGATTGGACCGATCGCGTGGCTCTCTTCTTGGCTTGGGAACCACGAATTTGCGGTAGATCTCTTCCAGACGATCCATCGGCAGATGCTCCGCATCGGGAAGATATATTTGCCTCTGAAAATAGATCAAAAATATTTTAACTAAGTGATCTGCCCAATTCAAATAAGCTAGTCACATTTTTGAGATGTTCCAACATATCAGCACGGGATAGGTCCTGGTCCATTTCTTATTTATATATTTTTTTAGTAATACGATCACAATTCAAATGTTTACATTCATTTAATATAAGTTTATTAATTATCGACAAAATATTCGATACCACAAGGCGGTATTTGACGGAAGCTATCGTTCTACTAATGGTATCGGTTATCGATCTGCCGAGTCGCAGTGTAACCGCAGTAGCTTTAACCAGAGAATACCACAACGAATCGGTATAGAATGCATTTGCGAAGGGGGAGTATGTATCCACTAGAGGCGATTGGTGGTTGGTGACACCAATAGATATGGCCATGTAATGTGACGCTTTACAGCACTTTTGGCGGGATATTTGATTTTCTAAAGTGATAAGGTATGTTCTCTTATCCATTTCTATATCATTACAAAAAAGCTTTATATACTTGTTGTATTACTTATATAAGCATTATTACCAACTTCACATTAATCAAAACTAAAGAATTCAGCATAAACAACTAAAATGAATTACTTAAGTATGTTTTTTTTAGAGGTTAAATTTAGTCTAATTTCAGTTTCGGAATGAAAAATTTTTCCAACCATTCAGCCGTGCTGATTCATTCCGTTGACAATCGACTTAAGCACAATTTTGGGTCAGTAACATAGCCAATATGCAAGCTCAACGATTTTTTCGCATCACACTTCGTTTATTTATTTAGCTATTTGCAGACGTGATGACGGTGTTATTGAATTAAATACGCTGGCGTATTTGAAATATTTAACCGGTTTTTCTTCTCTTTTAACATCGCCTTAAAGGTTGATTGCACCACAAACTGCAAATATAAGCCACCGGAACACCATGGCAACAAAATGATTATTTTTATACAAATTATAAGCAGGAAAGACGTTGCAATAATGTAAAAAATATAATATAATATATTATTAAAAAACGGATTCTTGCGCTTTAGCAAACTGGAGTAAAAGTTCGCCACTAAAGAACGAGGTCCTGAAGTATCAATTCTACTTACTAAATAAACCTGTGAGACCCACTGTGCCAGTGCCTAATTTGCATACAAAAGGGGATAAGTGGACAAACTGCTGGAGGCGGCGATAGAAGATTGTGGTTCCAGTCCCACGACGACAAAGGTTTAATCCACTTGGAGGCATCCCAGCCCGAAGTGGGTCACCATTACCACAATGCCATTCCGCAGGAGCACCCATAATGAGTCGGCCACCAATTGAAAGACATTCGCTATTAGCTGGTTCTTTGTTTGCTCGGTTTCATTGATATTTGCCAAAAAGCTTTATTGTACGGTACAATGTAAATATAAATAGTTCAGTGGTGGTTTGCTCAATGGCAGTTCCCATTTGCTGCCATCGTTATTCGCGTATTGTGTATACTATTGCGGGTGTATTGTTTGAATATCGGGGTACCTTGCGTATATCTATTCTATATAGCTGCACATTTCTGCCAAGTTTCAGTTTCGGTTTCATTTAATTGCCATTTCGGACAATTTTGTTCCGCATGTTTATCTATATAATGTTCTCGATCTGCGCCATAAATTAATAGCAAACAGAGGCGATGGATGGAGGGGCATGCGGACGCCTCCAAAGCGATTTATTGATATATTCCTTACGAATGCCATACATTATATGATAATTATCGTTAAAATACTCTTCCTCTTGAGGGAAATCGTTGGATATTGCCTTTTGAGGGCGTGGATCAGCTGACTAAGTGGGCTTTTTGCTTTGCCTTGCAGACTTGTTCGATCGTTATAGTGATTTAGTTATAGGTTTAGATTTAGTTAACAATAGTTTCGTTTTTCGTAGGTTCCTAGCATCCATAGGAGTGGATAAAGACTAAGACTTAGTGGCTATTCGTTGTGGAGTTACAGGGATCTGAGTTAACAATCGTTGTTTATGCACATTTAAATGTATATATTTTATATCAATCGCTTAGCCAATAGGGTGTGTACAAAATACGTTTATATACAATGGTCAATAGTTAATAGTTAGTATCAAAATTTAAAATCTATCCTGGTGTAAAGTATTCGCTGCCTTTGTCTCAGTCATTCGATAATTTCATATTCGATTCGTTGCTTAGATCAAGAAAACTATATAAGCTACATACAAAATACGCAGTATTGAATATGTACACATATGTATGTAAATATATATAAAAAAAATTGACTCCTACCAGCATCTAAGTATGATCGCTCTTTAGTTCGGGGAGAATTACTTTTGGCCTGAACACTTTGGAAGTTCTACTACATAATACAATTGTCAGTTAGGCACGTTGAACGTGCCATCGTAACTTGAGCAATAAATTAATATTAGTTAATTACAACAAAAAATTAAATAAATATAATGGGAAATAATAATTGTACTGCGTTGTAGTTTCTGCGTTTACAAGAGCTTAAATACTTAAAAATACGTTTGTAATGGGGGGGAATACATTTCAGCTTTGGCGCCCAAAAACAGGATGCAGGACAATTGCACTGCTTGCTCGAAAGTCTTGACAAGTTTGGTGCGTGTGTGTGCGTGTACTGCTTTATCGTTGTTTAATTTAGCGCGCTTTCATTTTTTACCATTTAACCTTGATCAATACGTATCGTTGAACTTTCGATGATCAATTTGATTGTTTCCGCCTAACAGAGTGTGTGTATAACGATTTTGTTTATGCCTTCAAGTAAATAAATTTCAATTGTTTACACTAGCCGTAAAAAAATATACAAATTTTCGGTTGAAAATCGTTATGGGGCAAACATAAAAATAGTTTCAGTCAGCGATTTTTGTCAAGTATTCCAGTAGTACAGTGCAAATAAAAAAAGTGATTAGGCAATAAAAACGTCAAAGACACACACACACATACATAAAGAATATATGCAAGCAGTATCAATCGAGAAATACCAATCAGAAGCAGCTAATTTAAATGTTAAACATCCGATATATTCATACGTGTGTGTGTGTGTGTGGGGTGCCTGCTGTTTTTCTCACACTTGAGATTTGAGTCAGAAAAAAAGCAGAGCAACGCGATCTAAACTAAACAACAAATGTGCCTCAACAGAGAATTTCTTGTGGTTGCCACACACAGATGCACACACATACAGCCCTGTTGTTTTTGTTTTTGTTGGCTAAAAGTGCTTGGAAAAAAGAGCTACAAAAGCGCTGCTTTGTTTTCTCTAGGCTGAATTCCTGTTTCGTTTGCTGCACATTCCATTTCGCAACACTGACCGAAGTGTCCAATTAGAACGTGTTAATGTGACCCGAACTGCTTTACCGTTATTCTGCGATGCGATGCGATTATGATGATGATGATGATGAATAAAATAATACGTTTCTTTTGTGCTGGCTCAAATTGAAGTTGAATACTGGCATACCGAGTACATTTTGTTCGCCAGCGGTTGTTGGCCGATTTCAAAATCACGCGCAAGTCGCTTACACACAGACAAACACACACTCATTCGCTCGTACACTCGCACAATTAGCTGGTCAGCTTGGTTTTGTTTTCTGCGATTGCGCAAGTGTGTGCCGCTCGTCTCGAAACTCCAGCTTTGGCAGCTTTTTTTTGTGTTTTTTCCTTTCTTTCTTATTTCTGAACTGCCCAATGCCATTATTTCGCTCATTCGAGGTCTGGACTTTAGTATCCGGGCCTGACTTTCGCATTGTCGCTCGTCGTCTCAGTTGTCTGCAAAAAATAAGAAAGAAAAGGGGCACAAATAAGTACACATTTTCATATTATAAGCGTGCGCATGTGGGTACAGTGCCCTCAAGATATTAGCACTTAGAAGCAGTGTTGGAAGCGGCTTTAGTTCTTTGAGTTCCAGTCTCAATTTACTTCGATAGCGAAGTAATTTTTTTTTAGTACTAGAAAAAAATTTTCCTAAAAGTTAATATCCAATTTGAATTATATTTTACAAAAATGGTAATTGTGAATAATTATCCACTTTGACTGCTTTTTAACTTCCCTTAGAAAAAGCTTTGTTTTTTTCCTTCTTTCTTAGCTGAAACATCTGCGGATTATTCATGATCTGTTTAGATTTCCAGGCAAAGCGTAATCAGGAATTCTGAGAGATATTGTGTTTTCAAATTCTTATGAAAAGGTGGCAATTGCGATATGATTTGAGGTGTGAACTGCTGGCAGTTGAAATACTTATTACTTGCCAATGAAATTCATGTACCAATCGCAATGTTATGCTTATAAGAACGGGCAAAATATCTTGCCACGCAAGGACGTGTGACTATTATAATTCAGAGCTATTGCGTTAACCGCAACTGTGGATGCATGACAACAATGCTCCCACTTTGCTTCCTTTGGCCTCCAACGAGGAATCAGATGTCGAGCGACGTTGCAGGCACAAATTAAAAAAATAATGCCCTGCGTAAAATGTAAATGGGCCACAGTGCAATTATAAGTTGAAAAACTGCAGAACGTTCAAATTAAAAATTGCCGCTAAACTCAAATTAACGCAGAACATGTGTGCGTGTGCCACTGCGATTGCGTCTGAAGTTGGACATTTAGTATTCTTACTGCGAAATTGGTGCCAATTTGTGCGGTAGAGTCAACAGGAAGAAATTCATTACGCTGCCAAGTGTTGAAAACTTTAAAATGTCAGTGAACTAGGAAGATAAAGTTGACCCAGATATGAAAACCATACCAAGTTTCAACTAGATAGATCATGGGGAATATTATTTCAGTTGCAGGGGAAGTACAGGTCACGTTCGACCATAAAGCAGAAACAATCTACATTTTTGAAACTACAAATACTATTTAATCGGCACTCCGACGAACATGGTCACCTGGCATTTTATAAAATTAGTAATCATTTCGTGATTGGACGTGTCAAACAAGTAATGCTAATAACTAATAGAACAATAAGCGAAATCACTTAATTATAAAATGTTGATGGAGATACAAAGTGGAACTCAAGCGTGGCCAAGCTTTTAGTTCTCATAACAAGCTGGATATAGCTGAAATGTTTAACGCTGTGTGATTATGATGATTACTCGCATCGTTACTTGGATACTAAACAAGATAATCAGAGAAATTGCTAATGAAAGAAAGTGTTTTTGGGTGAGGCCGAAAGTAATTGTAGGAAAACTTTCGTTTTTAGTTTTCGTCACACAATCATTTTGCAAAGAAAAAGTATTTTCCTCTTAAATGCTCTTTTATAATAGTATTAAATATTGAAATGCTAAGCTTACAGCTTCTATGGCGTTCAAATTCGCGAATGGTTTTAGCCCATAGAGTTTGCCTTTTTCTTCACGGTTGATCCCTGACGATCCCATGATAGCTAGATCCCATTGCTGGATCGATTCTAGTGAATTCCCGCAGCATCTACCCTCCTTCGCATTGTGCTTCTGTGCCATTTCAGTTGACAAACGAGGAACGCACCCCGCCATCCAATTTTGATGCATTTTTGCACCGTCGCGTTGTGATGAGCGTGACGTGGATACGCTGCTCTGGGATTATGCAGATGAACACAAATGGCACGGCAGCTGCAGTTGCAGTTGCAGATGCATTTCGGGTTGCCTTTGGAGTTGCAGTTGCAGTTTGCAGTTGCGACACACACTCGCATGCAGGTCATAGTATTAAGGCGACTGGCTGCCCCTTTCTGTACGATTATTGCGTGTGCCAGCCACAATTTCAGATTTCTGTTTTCGGATTTCAGCTTTTCAGGGGCCAGGCCATTTAACTCGGTTGCGTAATCCCATGGAATGGGCCCATGGGCCAAAAACCCAGTGTTTGTTTTGTTTTCTCTTTCGTTTGGGCCAAACCTCTGATTCGAACTCGGACCCACATACAATCGTACAGCAGACAGCACATCTGTTTCCCCGGACAGACACGGATCCCAAAAAGTATGACGCGATCAGGGCCCAAAAAAAAAAGGGAAAAAGTAACAAACAATAAAACGCGAGGCAAAGAATTACAGTCGTACAACAATAACTGCTACCACCAGCTGTCACACTCAAAAATGTTACAAACTGAAGTAATTATGTACATATTTTCTATACGGCTGTGTACAATGTAAACCAATGTTCTTGGGGTCTAATAACATAAATGTAGCGTATACAAAGCAGACATTTGTTAATAATATAGAAAAACAAACTTCATTTTATTGGCTTCCTAAATTAATGCTACTATCAACATGCATAAATCCTTATCTTTTCCAGGGAATATTAAGCAACCAGGTTAATGCTAGATTTAAAGATGAGCTAGATTTAATGCTAGATTTTTAGTGCCCAAAATGGAATTAAAGCTTTCAAAACTTTATGAGCTCTGAGCTAAGGTTTCTTTTCAAATAATAGATTGCGCCGGTGTCGAGGCCTGTCTGTAGTTGGATCATTTGGGATGTGTCAAGAGCACTTGAGGCGACCAAACTAACAAAGTAACAAGTAAATAAGCCGAAACCCAAACAAGACGATGGTGTGGTGGGCTTATCACCATCGACGATATCGTCGTCGCCGGTGAGTCCAATTTAAACTCGATTTTCCCTTTCGGGTTCAGCACACACATTTTGAATCCAGCAGATACGGATGCCAGAAACGATCCGAATGCGATGCCGGTTTTCCATTATCTTCGCTTGCGTGTGTGTCAAGGGTTGCGCTGATTACTTTATGGCCATGTGGAAATGTGGAATTCGACAGGAAATTCGAAAATCGAATTCACCCGACCCGGCGTCAGAGTTTTCCGATGAAAAACATAACAGCACAGCGGCAACATATTCATCTTTATGGCCATTCTCGAACTCAAGTGCTGCACGCGAAATCGTAAACTTGGCGCATGTTGTAAAGCAGTTTCGGCCATGCAAATGGAATATGGAACTGACCATCGTAGGATTCTCACCCTACGTGAATTCCCCCATAAAACCATAAAACGAAACGAAATACCAAAAAAAAAAAAAAGAAAAAACGTGCTAGACTTTTCACCCGGCGCCTGGTTGGAAAAACGCTCCAGGTAGCTGCCAGGAAATTTCAAACCCTAACATTTCATCTGGATAGCGTATAGTCCGTATGGGGGGTGAATAGTGTCCTATAGAGAAGGGTATTTTCCAAAGAACATGGTCCAAAAGGGGACTTACCCAATTAAATGAAACGCCAAAGGTTTTCAATTGAAAAGTTCGCCTCATTTTCCCCCTAGAAACCCTAGTCCTAATCTTCATTTCTGCTTCATATGGTGGTTGCTTCTCGAAAGTTGTCAGCGCAAACACACACTACATACTATTTCCATGACAAATCCGGATTTTCCTATTTGTTTCCACATTTTGTAAATACATCATTGGTATTTGGGTTAAATGCACAGACGGAGCAATTATCACACTATCTTCTCTGACACATACTGTATATGTGATAATCACCTTACATTTTTGGTTATATACCGGAAAATCTAGCTAATGTGTTGATCCATCCAATTTACACGGATTGTGATTCTTTTTCGGGTCAATTGAAGACTCTCTATTCAGTTCCTAGTCTACGAGCACGCTATTTTTTTAAACACGAACTTAATTAATAGGAAACATGGGTTCTGCGTATTATTTTGGTGTTTTTCAAGCAGACAATGTGTCTGATGTACGCAACCTGTCCACCTCCCTCTGATTGAACTCCATTGGAATAAAGCTGCTTAGTGATATTGAAGGGGCCCCACCTGTACGTGTACTTAATAGGATCGAACCTGCTGCGATGCATGGCGTAGCCGGCGAGCAAACAGCCAGCTCATTGAGCTCATACTTTGCATTCCGGGCTGGCCCTAAAGCCCATTAAGGCCGATAAGTCTATCAGCTAGTGTGTGCTTAAAGCCGCGTTTTGTAAGCCACTTGGCAAACTGTGTTGGGAGTGAGAACAGCAGGCGCTTTGTTTGCCCTGGCAAACAGAGCTATCTCTTCACAAGCACACTTCAGGGGCTATCGGGTGTTCAACTTACGTTTAGCAAACGGTCTCCATTTTGATGATGGGTGCGGCGGGGGCAATGGGAGCCTTCTCCGGTACATCATCCTCCAGTCCGCTGTCCGCCGCCGGACTGCTGGGCATGTGGGTGGTGGTGGTGGTTGTGGTTGTGTTGGTGTTCTGGGTGATCTCCGTGCCACCGGCCAACGAGGGCAAACCCTGCGAGCTGCTCGAGTGCTGGACACCGTTGGTCGTGTTGGTGATGTCGTGACGCAATCGCGGGCAGAAGATCCTGCGGCAGGCGGTCCACACCTGCGGTTGGCAGCCCACCACGATGAAGATGAAGACGCCTTGCAGGGCGTTGATCAGGTCGGTAAAGAACCATACGCCATGGGGTCCACCGACCAGCCAGGACAGAATGTCCGCTATCCAGGTGACACCCATTACGACCACTAGCTTCAGGCAGACGCGACCCAGGGCAGACTTCTCCGAGGAGGACTTGACATCGTCCCGCTTCCACAGGCCGCAGGTCAACTGATGGGTGGTGGACACGAAGAGCGCTATATTGGCGCACAGCAATAGGCCAATGGGTCCGTAGAAGTAGGCGAAGATCGAGAGGTTGCGATTGTCGAACCAGCAGTAGAGCTGTCCGAATCCCGGGCGCAGTAACGTCGTCTCCGGCAGCTGATCCACGCAGGCGGCCACGAAGGTGATGAGCAGCGGACCGCCCCAGGCGTACAGGGAGTACAGATAGCGACGCAGAGCCTCCTGATTGCGTTCCAGCGAACTCGGCCGAAAGTCCCTGAACGTCCACCAGATGTTGAAGCACATGGTGTTCAGCCAAAAGAAGGCGGCCAGAAAGAAGAACTGCATGGTGATGGCCAGCGTGTGGCAGGCGGCACTGCCCGGCTGCAGACTGGAGCTCAGCTCCTCGACGGCCAGCAGTATTTTGCCGAATAGCAGGCAGGTGACATAGCATATTTGGCAGCGCCAATGAAGCGCATGATGCACAGCGGGCAGCAGGAAGCCGGCCACCAAAGTGGCGGAGAGGAAGACAATGGATACAAGTATGCCACCAGTCAGGACAGCCTTCTGCAGGTTCTGGCCATTGGCCTGCTCGATGGTTCCTCCACTGGATCCCGCCTGGGTGCCCGCCCCTGCCGCGGACCTAAACAAATGCTGGCAGGCTATGATCTTCACCTCGCCCTCGCGCTGCGTGTGCTCCAGGCAGTACTGCTCAGCGCTGAGGTTCTTGTGCGGCAACTGGAGCATGGCCGTGCTCCGATCCAGCTGGGCATCCTGCCAATCCCCGGCAATGGAGTAGCCACCGGGTTGTGCACATTCGGGCAGGCCGTAGCTGGTCTGATAGCTGCCCTCGGGTAGCTGGGGCGCGAGTCGGAGCAGTCCGTCGACGGCTGCCTGATGGTTAGGCTGCAAATCGCAGTTTTGGAGCTGCGTGTTGTAGCTGCCCCACTTGCCGCAGCACTTGCTTAGTCGTAGTCTGGCCTTTGGCGGCTCCTGCTGCACGAGGGGATTGGCTGCGTGATCGGGATCCTCGAGATCACTTGGCGGCTGACTGTTCAGGCAGACAACGGCCACCTCCCAGTCGACACAGTAGTCCGCCGGCTGGACCATTAGTGCGCGTTCCCGCACATAGAGCGTGCCATTGGGAAAGAGCATCACATTGGCCCCCCGGCTACGGAAAATCTCTGTGGTTTGATCCTTTCGGCAGGAGGGTCTCGTATTGGGCAGAAACTTCAAGAATCGCGGACTGGCGCCATGGGGCTCGAAGAAGCGCTGCTGCTGCACCAAGTACACCATGGGCAGCCACAGGGCTTCACTGCCGGCGATGCAGGTGCCTTCATTCAGATACTCTCCCGAATGGCAGCACTTGTTGAGCTTCACGGTGGGCGGTGGCGGTGGGCGTGAAGGGGCGGTCGGTGGCGATGTCTCCTCGATGGCCAAAGCCATGGACACCAGCGCCTGCAGCAGGATGGCGGTCGTCAGTAGGCCACAGTGCCTGATTGAACTGAACTGGTTGCCAGTTGGAGTGCGGCTGGTGGCACTTCTGCTACTCCGACTCCTGTCCATCATGAACTCTCTCGTCAAGATCTGTGTTGATTTCAGGTTCTCTTGTCTTGGCCTCAATCTGCAATTTATGTGCTATGTACACATATCTTTGGATATTTGTTTTTCTTTTGATTTTGCGTTCCGTTTCGCTTCGTCGAATAGCACTTTTCACTTTTCCTCTCTCTCTCGGTTGCGGTGGAAAATGGAAAATGAAAAATCAGCAATGTTCAATTTCACCTCCGTAAGTTGGGCAAACAAACACAGAAAATCGTTAAGTAAACACACGCTGCGTTCGATTTCAAACGCATTCAACATAAAATAGAGTTGTCAGCGAATCATGTATATATCACAATATCACATTCTTCTCGGTGCCAAGGTGTTTCTGTCTCAGTTTTCAGTCGTAAACACTGCGCGCGATGTGTAAAAAAAAAAAGTGCTCGATTTGCGCTCCGATTTAGACGCGCATCAGACTTTTCCTCGCGTTTTTTTGGAAATACTCTCGTCGATCAGGGGAGCGGGGATTTTATACGGGTGCCTGGGCGAGTGTGACCCTCACCGACTCCGAAATACCTGTAGATAGGGTCACACTGCAGCGCAGATCTGCGCCAACTACAAATGCCCTTTTCACACAGCCGCTTCAAGTCACCTAACAAATGCGTTGATGCGGTATGTTCGCACTGCCTCAAATAGACAGGCCTCAAGAAATGATATGAGACCTGGAATCGCTTAAATACACAAAGTTCCCACTCTATGTTCTGTTATATTTAAATTGATTGTTAATAAAATATGTACATCTTAAGAAAGAAAATTCGATTATGCAGAAAAAAGACGATTATGCCCCCGGTATAAAGGAATTATAGCTTATACTGCCAACATTTTGTCCGTTAACCATTTCCTGTTTTTTTATTGAGATATAAAAGGGGTCCCCCTTTGTTATTTACTATTTGACAGCAATATTTTTGTGAGCATGTAAAACACAGCGAATTTGGTGGGAAACTATTTTTGCCGCCCGAAAAGTGTGACCAGATGGATGCGTGGCTAAAACAATAGTATCGCTCCAATCAATAGTGACATCTCTACCTTGCGGTCCGCATTTTTACTTAATTTTCGCATTTTAAAGAAATTAAACCACCAAAATGTCGAAGGCCCATCCCCCAGAGCTGAAAAAGTAAGTGAAACCAAGCGCAAAAAAGATAGCTCTCCATATATGCAAGTAACCATATTAAATTCCAGATATATGGACAAGCGCATGATGCTGAAACTGAACGGAGGACGCGCGGTGACCGGCATTTTGCGAGGATTCGACCCCTTCATGAACGTGGTCCTGGACGACACGGTGGAGGAGTGCAAGGACAACACGAAGAATAACATCGGCATGGTGGTAAGATGCGCAGTATTCTCTGACTAAAAGTTCCGTCTTATTAGTTTTCCCCACTTTGCCAGGTTATCCGCGGCAACAGCATCGTCATGGTGGAGGCTCTGGACAGGGTCTAGCACCCGCCTCGGAACCCGATCTCCTCGAGCATCGTTAGCCGTACTGTCTAGTCTTAAGGCTCCGAAACATTCATGCGCTGAACACCGTCAGAAGAAACTCACAAACTCTTAAATAAATCTAAACCAAGGACTTAATATCTACACATTTCTTTTGATTCAGAAATATTTAAACACTTTGCGTACTTTGAGCTTCGCTCGGAGGATTGTATAGTGCAAATTTAAAGCAATGCAACCCAGTTTTACTGATGACTGGTTTCCTTATTAATTTGGGTGCCCATGGTTTTTTACAACAGCTATCCGAACTTACCTTCACATGAATTTTGAATTTCCTTATTTTTCTTAGTCTTCTAACAATCCAAGACGTTTACTTCAAGATAAATCAGAAACTTGTTCATTAGCCACGGATTTTATATATCATTCATATTCATATCATATATTCAGGAAAAACTTAAATAACGTACACACGAAAGTAGAATAAAAACCAATACATATATATGCAAACACGGAAGTTCTAAAATTCTCTGTATGTTCCACCAAAAACGGAATACTTTCAACATGAAATTTAACCTAAGTCCACATGACTAGATTTTATTTAACTATGCACTATGTAGCTACTAAAGGCTGAATCCCAAAACCTGTAAGACGTAGCAACCCACTTGGTGTTGTACAGATAGTTTAACGAATAGATGGAAGCCATTTACTCATGTGATAAACGTGAAGGCTCGGAAATGGTATAAAATGGCCAATTAACAAACTAGATATGATTGCAGCTGTTGTCCCTACCACACTGTTCTCGCCACAGGCATGTTACTAATATGAACAGCTTCCTGATAAATCAATCACCTTTTGCATAAGTTTAGCTAAGAGAAGTTTTCCCCTGATTACTGACCGCATAAAAATATGTTTCTAGCATCCGTAGAACGCTTGTTTCGTAGACTTTTACAAATTGTGGTTGGTTTTATTTTCTCATCTCTCTCGTGCAAACAAAAAGCGCTTACAATAGAAGTCTAAAAATGTGTTTTTAGAATTCGAAGGGGCGCCGTGTGATTACTTGGAAATAACAAGGGGCCCGGTCTGCTTGGCGGCATCGCGCTGCTTGAACACGATCTGGTTTGCAATACGGTCCAGATCCCGCTGTCCAATGGAGCTCAGTTTGCGGCCACCATCCGGGTGCTTCTCGACCAAACGGGCATGCTCCAAGGCCTGCAGAGCCTTGCGGGCAGCACCGTCGGCGGCGCGGCAGAAGTGCGAGGGGTGGACACCGTTGCGCTTGCGTCCGCCGTAGATCTTGGTAATGGAACCGACTCCAGCGGGACTGCGGTGGTACAGGTGGCGCAGGATTGAGGCGCAACGCACGTAGAACCAATCGGGATCGTAGGGCGCCAGCTCCTTGAATTTGGCGGTCTTGACGATGTCCATCTGGTCGGGCACCTTCAACTTGCCAGTCCTATTTGGTTTTTTTGTGTGATAAACAAATGGATTGTGAGGTTATGTGGTGAATACTATACTTGATGTTAAGAACTCACTTCTTCAAGAAGACGGCGACCGCCTTGGTAACCGCGTGCTGGTCAATATCCTTCACTGTGACGCCTGGCATCTGCGGGGAAAACGGGAAAAACAAATTGGAATCTATTAAAATGCTGCCAAAAACACGTTGTCGCGATTTCCACGATTCTCTCACACACACAATCTCTCTCTCTCTCTCTTGCACATACATCCAGGGGCACAACAAAAAATTGCCAGCCGAAGTTTTAACTCGTAAAAATCAATCTTTTCGTGTTAACGGCCTGCCCATTGTGTTATCTGCCACCCGGCGTTGGGTCTTTCATTTAATTTCACCCATTCAAAACATAAAAAAAAAGATTATTCACTTGAAAAGAATTCGTGCACAACCTTTCTCGTTAAAGTCAACCGGAAAAAAGAACAAGGCGCTTGAAGTTGGCTGCGGTTAATAGAGCTGGGCCAGTCACTACCGATATTATCGAGTAATCGAATGTCTCTGGGGCGAACTATCAAGGTTTCGATTAATGATACTCTGGACAATATGTGTTTAATTTATAGATATTTGAAATAATGTACAAACCCAGATACTATATTTTCTTTGCCATTATTTTCAATTTGCTAAAGAAATGTTGTATCTCAATATGTATCTATTATTTTATAATTTTATAAAAGTAGCTGTAACTGTTCACGGAGGTAGTTTGTTAGAAGATCGAATAACGAAAGTGCTATCGATTACGCAAGCAATCGATATTTTCGCAACACCAGCACCAGTTGAAGCGCCACCTGTTGGCCTTGGTATTTTCTGGTATTTTCATCGGCGCCAGCCACTCCGATACTTCAGCTTCGATATGTAAACACAATTGCCATCTCTACCAGCACCGAGCCGAAATAAAATAAGTGCAACGCGCAGCGTCTAATTGAAACCAAATTGATCGATTTGGCCGCGGCCCAAACTGGACATTCGCAATTTGGGCGGTCAGCCGCCCCCGTCCCGTCCCGCCCCCCCGCGCGTTTCCCCCGCTGCCGACGGACAGCACGTCGGTGTGACGCACATCGGTGTGTGCGCGTGTGTGTGTGGAGCGCCTTGTTATTGTTGTTGTAGCGCTTGCTACGTTCGCCGTTCGCAGTGCGCTGGTGTGCGTGCGCTTGTGTGAGTGTGTGTGCAGAGAGGTATCGCTGGAATTAACAAAAAAAAAAAGGAAGAAAAAAGCAACAAGATTGGGGCACACAAAAACACACAACTCAAAAGCCGAGAAACAAAGCCTACCTTCAACACCCCCCATCCGCAACATTCGCCTTTTTGGCCAGGTTTTTGGCTACAAGTGTTGACACAACTGTTGCATGCCAAGCGGACTCGGCCAATAGTTCCTGTCCCCTTGTTTACCCACAAACCTGCGCATCCTGGTCATCGTGATCAGTGCGGTTCCACTTGCACAGGAAGTGGAGTAGCCGAGTAGCATTTTCCGGGAATTGATAGCACACCTGTCTGCCGTGTAGGAAACGCACCTGGGAACGCCCGGGTGCTCGACTGCGTCCGCATGTGGCGGCATTGGCGGCACACCACCAAAAGAAGCCAGTGCCAAGTGCCCAATCTCCATTCCCATCCCCATTCCCGTCCCTATCCGTATTCGAATCGCATTCAGTGGCAGCAGTTAACCAGAAATCCAACGAAACGCTCGTGACCTCATCGCCAGAACAGCAAACAGCTAGCGCTTGACGCGTGCCTCCTCATTACCATTAGCATTCCCAGCATAGACAGACGACCAACTCCTGGCAGGTAAATATATATATTTGTGCCTAGAAGATAACTCTCTCAACCTTTTCGCTTTCAGTTGCAGCACAGAAGCAGCAGTTGACCACCAGGGAGCAGTAGCCGGAGCAGCAGTATCAGCTTGTTATCTTGCATTTGCATGCCAGCTGGACGAGAACCTGTGACCAAGCAGCGCAGCATGGATGTGGAACGAAGGCGCCGGTGAGTGCTCCAGATGGCAGCCCGAAAGCGACTGATCCACTCAATTAATTGTCACCTGAATGGCAGCTGAAGTAGCAGCAGCAGCTGCAATAGTCGAAGTAGAGGTAGAAGTAGAAGTGGCAGTAGCCATCGCACAGATACGTGCGATTTGTACAGACAGATTTGTGATTTGTTCAACTGGCCAAGCAGCCAGCTAAGCAGCTAGCACAATTCAGCGCAAGCCAAACGGGCCTGGCCAAAACAAATCAAAAAGTAATACACCGCTGGCAAACACCTTCCATATCTCATGTTCAAAGCGACAGCGCGGCAATCAAATTGACAAGCGAGTGAACAAAACGGGGGGCGACTTTATAATAAATTTGCCATTTTCGCATTAAAATTTGTAACCAAACCAAAAACCAAAACGAAAAGCGAACTGAAACGAACGCACAGTGGCTGATGCCGCCGTTTGTCAGTTGCAGTCGTCGCGTTGCATCGGCTGCATCGTTTTGGGCCAAAAAGGTAGTCAGCACCCCCAGTCGATAGATAGATAGCATCCCGCCGGTGTCTTCCATTGGACTGTAGACGGTATAGGGCATGTGGACATGGCTAATGCCCGCCGCCCTCCAT